TAATATTCGAAGCAATCCTTGCTGAGATTAAGATGAGTGAGTAGCTTCGGTGACGTGATAACGCCGGATTTTTTGTCATGCTTGGCACTGTAAAATACGGGACGTCGGTTCTTCCGATCTCTTGAGCCGTAACAGTTTTGACAGAATACCTTTAGCTTAGGGGGGGGGCATGATAAAGAACAAAGCTAAGTTCCAAGCAGAGGGTGAGTTTTCTCGTGCTTTGGAAGTAAAATTATGCTTGTTTTCGGAAACATGTTCTGGATATATGAAGTTGTGCGGGAATTTTCTAAACTATTATCCAATCACGAAAGACTAAGGGTTGACCCTGAAACTTCGATGGTGTCAACTGCGTGAAACGCGCAATACCATTGATCCGGTTTGTGTGACGTACTAGTACTGGTACCAACATCTTCTTCTTATCATGGAGGAGAAGAATACCAACAACAAAAAGAAAAATAACCCTAGTACTACTACTAGTAGTACTAGTAGTAGATACTACTATTACTAGAAGGTAACAACTTCACTATATCATAGTTTCTTGTTCCTTCTTCTTCTTAATATGCAATGGAATCCCAAACTAGACATGTTCTCTTGCTTTTTAGGGTTGGGGTGGCTGTCGTTGTTGTTGAGATTGCTGGTGGGACACTTCTTCTTGTTGTTGTTCTTGTTGTTACTGAATAATCTCAAGAAGTAGTAGTACACCTAGTAGAGCAGCAGCAGAGCAGGCAAGAAAAAACAATGCAACTATTAGTACTGCCAATAGTGTTGGTACTGTCAAGTGCAACTACTGTATGTAGGAGTGCTAGCAGTACTAGTACTAGTAGTACTAGTATTATTTTACTACTACTACTACAAATGACAAAGGGCAGGGAAAATTTTTGTTGCACAGAAAACTACAGGCTCTGCTTGTTGCATGTATTACAGTGCAGTGAACGGTCAGCAGATATTGCCAACGTTGACTACTTACAAACATCATATGGTGTTTTAGTTTACCTTCATGCATGAAGTCATCTCTACCATGACAAAGAAGGAACGACAACTGCACCAGGAAGCGGATAATTCACAACAACTTTGTCACTACGGTTCAGTCCCTTTCTTCGTTGGTATAAATTTCAATACTATCTTCTCATTCTATTTCCGCTGCAGTTTTTAAATCACAATTAAGCATTCTATGATAGTCCTAATTCACGGTGCGCTTTCCATCCATCATCTTGAAGTCGAGATTTTTTATTGTAACTCCTCCAAAAATACGCTCCGGAAGAGTAGATTCTTCGTTTCCTTCAAGAACAAACATCATGTCCACCACAATTGTTTTGATGTACCCCAAACACAATTTTGTAACTCGTTTCGCTACGGCATCGCTAGCAATGTCGACAATTATTTCAAAGTAGCGGTCGTCTCTCACGTAATATTGCTTGATTTTCTTACCCAAAATAGCAGGCTTTGTTCCCACGCCCTTACGGACGACGTAGTTCCCCTCTATGATGCTTGGGATGAGCTTGAAGGTGTCGTTTCTGTAGCTGTCCGAATCCCCAAAGATAAATTTGTTCATGATGCGTCCAAAGGCCGTCTCGTTGTTTTTGATTTCGTCCAGGGTAGCCTTGTCGATTCCATAATAAAAAACTGCATGATATATCGTTTGGGCAGGGATACACAAATTCACGGCAAAAATAAATTCGGGCAACTCCCGCATTCCTGTTTGCCGTTCTCGCTCTAATGCCATTTGCACACGCTCTCCAGGGTGTGAACACATGCCGGTATATATGGGGGTCTTTGTGTTGACCAAGTCTACCGTAATGAGACGAAAGGCGGCTTCTTCAGATGACTCCTTGATTCTAGTTGCGAGGTAATTATTGGACCGAACCTGATAGTTTCTAGCGGAGGGTTCGCTCCATCCCTTGGACCGTAGCGGAGGTGGATTGATACATAGCTCTTGAAATTTAGCGTGTGGGCTAGGCGATGTTCTCTTCTCTGAATGGCCCTTCTTTGTTTCCACTAACATTTCATTTTCTAACTCACTCACACCTGATCGGGAGGACTTCTTTGATGCAAACCCCATATTGTCTTTGTTTCTATTGTGTGAACTAAACGACGAACATACGCCGGAACTGTTGTCGCCAGAAGATGAGGAAACGTCGGTGCTAAGAGTCTGCTGCTTGAGAAACACCGGTGGCTCTTGTGGCCGTCTCTGTAGTGCTAACGAACTGGGAGACGTGTGTCCGGACTGTAGTTTTTGACGAGTCGACCACTGGAGTACAGAATTCGAATTTGACGAGGCGTCAAGCGAACCCGACGAGGAGTGTTGTTGTTGCTCGGAAAAAGAGGTGAATTCGGAACACGACTGTTCAACAGGTGCAGGGTGCTGGCTGCTACCGTTCCTCGATTCCGAAACAAGGCTGTCTTCAATGTCTAGTCCTGTGTCACACCGTAAGGTAGAACACATCATATAACCAAGATCCATCTTGCTGCTAAGTTTTCTTTTCCAGAGACTATTCCTTCTTTTCGGCACTTACGTCGCACTGCCAGACCTTAACCTTCGCCGTTTCGCGGTATTTATTCCGAAAAAGTCCGCACGCTTCTCAATTCTTGTTACGGTACTCAAAATGATAATATCTCTACTTGTTTACAAAAAGTGTGTCGTGTAGAGCGCACATTCAAAACAATTTTTGAATGACTTTCGAGGCTCATTTTTCCCCTCTCCTCCTCATAGGAATAGGTCGGTCGCCAAATTAAGAAAAAGGGGCGAATCAGTGGTGATGCCCGCGCACAAAATACTATGTATAACTTATTAAACGTTATTATGGCGTTAACATTACTTAAATACCAAGTAGAAAGCACTTACTTCGCACAAAAGAAAGCCGTCTCATTATCAACATCGTAGCAGATTTGTGGTACGTGGTACTCGTCATGAGTTTCATCGTACCGTAAAAGTCTTTGTGACATAAATGATAACTGTGGCCCACGTCACACTATTAGTCCAACGGTCAATTTTCGTTACGGTAACACAGGTAAAACATAGCAGCCGCACACAGTACTTCGTACGTGCTGCATTACTATCGTTCCATCGAACCAGAAAGCGCATGCTCAAAAATAGAATACGGTACCGTACATACTTGCTACGTACCGGTACGCCACGACCTAATAACCATCAAATATGGTTCATCCTATCAACGTAACTTATGTATATACCTCAATAAGGTACAGTATCATAGCCTTAGATAATTCAGAGACGTGCACTTTCCTGGTGATTGAAGGAAAAACTACAGTCTTTTTCTCTGACACAGATCGCGCGCAATTTTACCAACATGCGCATAAAATACGCTGCAGCATACGCCACGTCCTAAACGAAGTACGTTGACACCCACGTTTTACACAAAATGTTACGCAAATGATGAGAACACGCAAGGATAGAAAAAAATTAAGAAAATCAATGCTGTTTTGTCGTGAAGTCGCCTGAGCCGAATGGTTCTCGTGAAATCCTGCCCTGGCCAAGAACACCTTGTGTTCTCACAATTTTAATCCTCTCGTTCAAGAATTACAATAAGTGTTGTCAAAATGAAGTTCATCTCCGCTTTCGCTGCCCTTACCGCTGGATCGGTCGCCGCCTTCGCGCCTTCGGCTTTCACCCCTCGTCAAATGGGTGTTGCCTCCACCAGCAGCTTGAACATGGCCCTCGCCGATGGTGTCAAGCCTATTGTCATCGGTGTTGCTGCCGACTCTGGATGCGGAAAGTCGACCTTCATGCGTCGTCTTACCAGCATCTTCGGAGGAGATGTTGTCGGACCTCTCGGAGGAGGTTTCGAGGCCGGAAGCTGGGAAACCAACACCTTGGTCTCTGACCTTACCACTGTCATCTGCCTTGATGATTACCATCTCAACGACCGTAACGGACGTAAGGAATCCGGTCTTACCGCCCTGAACCCACTTGAGAACAACTTCGACCTCATGTTCGAGCAGGTCAGTGCCCTCAAGAACGGAGAGACTGTCAGCAAGCCTATCTACAACCACGTCAACGGAACCCTTGACACCCCTGAAACCATCGAAGCTACCCCTATCATCATCTTCGAAGGTCTTCACCCCATGCACGACGAACGTGTCCGTGACCTTCTTGACTTCACCCTTTACCTCGATATCTCTGATGAGGTCAAGCTCAACTGGAAGATCCAGCGTGATATGGAAGAACGTGGTCACTCCCTGGAATCCATCATGGCCTCCATCGAAGCCCGCAAGCCCGATTTCGATGCCTACATTGACCCCCAGAAGAAGGATGCTGATATGATCATCGAAGTCCTTCCTACCGCTCTTGACGAGGAAGACAAGAAGACCCTTCGCGTCCGATGCATCCAGAAGGAAGGTGTCAGTGACTTCAACCCTTGCTACTTGTTCGACTCTGGATCTTCCATCGAGTGGGTCCCTGCCGCCGACAAGCTTTCCTCTCCTGCCCCTGGAATGAAGCTCAAGTCCGGACCTGAAGATTACGCCGGAAAGGCTTCCCAAGTTGTCGAGATGGACGGTAACTTCGACAACCTCCAAGAGCTTGTCTACATTGAATCTGCCCTTTCCAACACCAAGACCAAGTTTTACGGAGAACTCACCCAAGCCATGCTCGCGCTCTCTGACGCCCCTGGATCCAACAACGGAACCGGACTTATGCAAACTCTTGCTGCATTCGCCATCCGCGACATCTACGAGAAGAAGACCGCCCAAGCTGCCAAGGCTACCGCCGAAGCCACTGCCTAAATATAGAAGGGTTTCTGGGTATTTAAAATTTATTTAGAATCTTGTATTTTTTAAGCTACGCCTCCAACTCTCACCTTCTCACAGATCGCATCCGCACTAGATTCATGAAGAACCCTTCACGTAACTACTGGGTTAAGGTGCAAAAGACTGTCATCTTTCGAAACGATTTCTGTCACCATACGCTGATCATTGTCTCATGGAAAGAATTTCGAAGGAAGTTTTTCAGATTCATGCCCGTTGATTCTTTCAAAACGTCTCGAAACAAAATCTGGCTCCAAAATGACCACATACGTACGTCACGCTGCGACTTTTGACGACCCATTCGTGATTGGAACCATCATCGAGTCATGGATCCCGATGTTTCAAAATGGTTGGTACGTACGACGTACGTATTTTTTTCGGTGCAGTAGCAAGATACTACCGGTATGGTAGGATATTACGGGTACCAGGTACAAGTTCCAAGCAGTAAGTAGGTACTCGTATGCACTGTACGTACCGGTACATTGTATTGTGACGTTCACATCAGTTTTATTTTTCTTCGGTATGTTTTCCCGTTGAGAAAGAAAAAGCAACAGCTCTAGCCATCATCTCCTCTCTACCGGTACTGCTGAAACGAGTACGGTACGAACGTACCGGTACGTAGTGTTCCCAAAATGCTACAGCAAATGCTTCACCTCGGCCTCCGAGACACAAAATCAACGATATCGAACGGGATACCAACACAAAGTGCGTCTGGATCGACTGTACACTATTCGAAGACTGGTTCCTCCAATGCTAAAGGCAACCGCGAACCCAAAAAAATTGTTGAAAAAATGAAACACCGAAATTTCCCCCCTTCATCGTCGTTGATGCTAGTGTTTTTCGCACCATTGATTGCAAATCTGGCGAACAGCAACTACCATCATGCAGTAGAAGGATTCTCGTCACCGCTACTGATAAAAAATGCCTCCAAGCCGAGAATAGCAACACCAATTTTTGCCGCCAAGGGCTTTGGCGGAGGCGGTGGGTTCGGGGGTGGTGGCACCAAAAAGAAAACCAAGAAACAGAGCGGAAAAAAGAAGGGTAATCGGTTGGCCGATTCCCTCGCAGACCGGCCCAGCAAACCCGTCGCGAAAAAAGGACAGACCTATGTCAAGTCCGAACAAGACGCCATGCTCGAGGAGTTGGCGGCGAAATCCTCCCGAACGCCCATCGGGAAGGCCGTCAACGAGGCGAAGCGTGCCCTGCACGCCGCTGGTATTGACACCGATGTCGACCCGTTTTGGGATCTCATGCCGTCCCTGATATCGTCGAAGTTTCCGAGCTTGCAAGATTCTCAGCTGGAACGCGTCGCGGGCATGGTGAAGCACGCACTTCATCCAGACCGCCAATCTTTGTTGGACCAATCCATCGTAGCAGACGAATGGCGGCCACACGAGGAAATCCACGCATACATGCCAGACTTGGGAGAGACGAAACCCTTTTGGGATTCCAGCGAGCTTTCTATTTGCCAAAAGCTGAGCGAGAACTATGACACAATTTGCAGTGAATACCAGGCTCTTCTGCAGGACCAAAAAGATCGGTTTCAATCTGTGACCAGCATGAACTACGAGAGTGGTTGGAAGACATTGGTTCTGTTTTACAATGGTCATCGAATCCCCGATTTTCCTTACCATTTGTGTCCCAAAACTACGGAACTCATGGAAAGCCTGCCGTTGGCCGGAAGAATTGCCGGTTTCAACAGGCAACAACCCCAGAGTGGAATCCCACTCCATTCGGATGGCAACAACATGTGGCTCACCTTGCAGATGGGGATCAAGGTTCCGGAAGGAGAAAAGGCCTGGATCCGGGTAGGGCCCGAAACCAAGCGATGGAAGGAGGGAGAATGTATGCTCTACGATACCACATACGAGCACGAAACCTTCAACGAATCGGAAACGGAAGAGAGGGTGGTATTGCACATTGACTTTTTCAACACACTGAAGATGACTCCGGTGGAGATCGAAGTAATGCGCTACATTTACAGCATGAGAGAAGAATTTATGAAAGCAGAGGGAGTTTCCAAGGTGGGCAATCAGATTTTATAAAATAAAGCTAGAATCAAAATTACTTGCATTGGTTGAAGAACTATGAAAAACCTGTCTTCAAGTGCTCTGGTCTACATCTATCTCAGCGCTTGATTCAACGCGCGAACACATACCCCAAACACCCTGTTTGTAAATATTATTTCGGACCACACCATAAGAGTATAAAAACAGTCCCTGAAACTAATATTGACAATATGTGTGACACACGATATACAACAAAACGACAAACCAAAAAAAGAGGGCTTTCAGGAGACGAGATCATCTTCCAGTAACCCATTTAATATCCATTTAACATCGAGAATTTTTGCTATCCACTCGTTTAGTCGGCTTTGGCAGCCTGAGAAACCCGGAACGCCGTCATTTTGTTCAATCCGGCATCCTCTAACGTCGTGGTGTTCTCGTCGCCTTCCCACGAAAATGTTTGCTTGCCGTTCAGTGTCGTCAGGACCACCGTTTCGCGCTCGATCTCGAACATTGCGTCTACCCAATTGAAGAGGACGGTCAGGGGCTGATCCGACGCAAAGCCGCGCTGTCCTGTTCGCCCGTCGGGGAATCGCAGCGCGATCTTCTTGACATTGCTCCCGCTCTTGATGTCCTCGGGCAGTGATTGTTCGAGTTCCTGGCGCCKGGCGTCGATTTCGGCTTGTCGCGCCGCTTCCTTGACTTCCTTGGCCTTTCGCTCTGCTTCTTCCTGCGCTTCCTTGGCCTTGCGTTGGTTGTCACTCTGGACGCTGTCTATGTAGCCTTCCTTCCGTTCCTTGTACAGTTGAAGTTCTGTAAACTCTGTTTGCATAACTTCGTATTGCTTTCCGTGTCGCTTGCGGAGTGCATTCATCCAGGATGCCATGGACTCTGCCTTGAGAGGTGGATTGCAATGGTGTTGTGCCAGAACCTTGGGGGCAATCTGAAAAAGAAAGGAACCACAGAACTCGGTGAGCAAACGATACATTCGAAAGAACCGTACGTGCGGTTGCAAACGCGCAAAGAACGAGTGAAATACAAACAACGACACTTTGGCATCGTTCTCACGACACCAACGGGCGCGAACTCGAATCGATACTCACAACACCACCGCTGCTGGCAGGATAGACGACGCACAGAATAGCTCGTTTCTCTCCCTTGGCCGAGATTTCCTTGACTTTTAGTCGCTTGATGGCGACCGCGGCTTCGGAGGAACCCGCCTTGGTGCCCCAAATGGCAAACGAACCAAAGTCTTCGGCTTGCATTTTGCGTGCTTTTCTGTTGGAAGCCTTTGCGACCTCTTTGCTCAACAAACTCTCGATCGCCACGAGATTGTTTTGCTCGGATTCCTCGGTGCCCTTTCGGCCACCACCAAACAAAGACAGTCCTCCCTGTTCCGACTTGGGCTTTTCCGAGGGAATGAATACCAGAAGCATGCGCGCCTGCTTCCGAGCCGTTTCCAGTGCATCTTGGAGGGAACCGTCCAGAATGACGGTTCCCGGCGATTTTCCGCTGTTGCGCAGGTCGTCTACCTCGTATGCTTCCGAGAGATACGATCCAAAGTCATTGTCATTCACCGCCGCTTCGTCGTCGTTGCCGTCTTTGGCAGCCGGTGTTTCTTCGGGTCCGGTCGCTGCGCCCTCTTCGGTTCCTTCCTCCGTGGTGTCGATCGCATCGTCCTCGCCTTCCTCCAGATCGATAGTTTCCTCGTCCTCGTCCTCGCTGGTTTCGTCGCCCTCGGGCACCGTCAGTGCTGCTTTCACCATGCGTTGCACGGTCTTCACTGTCTTCTTCGTCATGGTCAAGATCTTCTCCACCAGCGTCGCTTCTTCTCCTTCGTCGTCGCTGTCGCTGTCATCCTCGTCGTCGCTTTCTTCCGACTCCTCTCCTTCCAATCCCGCTTGAATGGCTCTGTGTAGGGCTCCGTAAACGACGATGGATGTTTTCTTGGCTGCCAGAAAGCCCTTCTTGGAATAATCGATGACGGTCGGCACGATTTTGGTCTTGGTCACGTCCAGTGCTTTTTCCAAGACGGCCACGTAGTCAATCCCCGATCCCGACGACGACAAGCCGGTTTCCTCGTCGTCGTCGCTCTCTTCTTCTTCTTCGCCATCGCTCTCTTCCTCCTCCTCGTCTCCGCCACGAATGTTCATGACCGAGCGCATGAGCGGCGAGAGCTTCGGCGACGCACCACCGACAACGGCGTTCGCATTCGCATTCGTCGCCGCCGATTGCGACAACAATGACGAGGGTGCCCGGTAGCCCTGGACGATCGTGGCGACGATCCCGAACACGAGCAGCAGCGCAATTGCCCTCATGGATTGAGTCATATTGAACGCGGTCTTTCTAAACAATCTATACCAAGCTGGCGAGGATGGATGTGCTTGCCTCTGGACAGGTGTTTTGGTATGCAATGATACTGAGAAATTCCCACTTTGCGTGTTTGTTGTTCGTTCGTAACAACAGTAGCCGGGTTCCGTTTTCGTACCGTACCAGTTTGCGTACGATACTTACAAGTACCTGGTACTGTAATGTAGCGTGCGATGCCACAATCGGCTTTCGAAAGGGTTCTCCAACCGGCACGTCCCACAAGGGGGAATTTCGTCACGGATAAGCAGGCAAAGCAAGATATGTTTTAAATTCTCGAGATCTCTTCAAGGATACCAATCAGAAATGATGGGCACGCACATGCGAAAAAAATAGCAAGCCCCTGGTTTTTGTTCGATTGAGTCAATTGCATTGGTCGGTGAAGTACGACTGGATCAAACGGATCGAAGAATCGGCGATAAACTTGTTGTGGTCGTTTTTGTTGTGTTCTCTGCACCGCCTCCACGAAGCATGCCGCCATTGGCAATGGGCAACGGCAATACGGAGCAAACGCGACGCCCGAAACGATGACGAAACCGGGAACCAATCTTGGTCGCTATCGGGCCATGCCCGATGGGAGCGGGAACCACGACCCCCTGACCGACTACCACACCTGGGACTCGCACCAGCTCGGCCTGTATTTCCGGAAGCGGGGCCTCGGCGCCTACTTCGAAGACATTCAGACGCACAAGATCACGGGGCGGCTGGCCCCACTCTTGAGCGACAGCGACCTCAAGGAAATGGGTGTCGGCGTGGTGGGGGATCGCCTCATGTTCAGGCACTACCTCAAGGATCTGGCGCGGAGGGAACGCTACAACAAACGGATCGAGGCTCTCTGGGAAGGCGAGGAGCGAATATTCTTTTCGGATTGCGACAGGAAATGTTTCACCTGCAATGGGTGCTGTCCAGTCGATCCCAGCACGTGTGAGTAGAGCACCGCGTAGGGCGGAGTCGAAGAACACCGAGCTAGCGCCATAAATAGGTCCAGAAAAGGAATCAATCCCAGGCCGGAGCAAAAACGACTGCTGCCCTGCGCTCGGTACTAATCCGGTTTCGTTTTGTTTCGCTTCGTTCTCGTTGCTCCTCAGACAAATTGACGGCCAACCACTTGAAAATGAAAAAGGTGCAACCCGTCCGGTGCGGCCCGTTTCGACTCTTTTGCTTCGGGTCGTCCTATGTCAGCAAAAACGTCGATTTGTCCAAGGTTGACGACGTCGACGTCATGGGCATTCCGGCACCCTGCTGCCACCGAACCTGCTGCTGTGCGAGGGGAAAGGACCTGATCGAGGTCGAGAGTCGCTTCGAAACCAGGGGCGGCGGAAAAATGTTCTTGGTCCTGGAGGAAGGCCGGGGGGAGGCGGTGGCGAACATGATTCTGAATCAGGTGGAGGAGTCGCAAAAGATGGAGCGGACCTGAGCACGAAACGAACGAGATGCGGGCGCTGCGTTCTCCTGCAGGGCCCGTCTGCGCACGAGGAGGGGGGCTAGGGGGCTGGCTCGGTGGAGGCGAAGGATCCATACAGTCAAATGCCACTGGACGGCATCGTGATTTACGGATAGGGCAAATCAATTTTTTTTCGAGGACGATTGGGAGGTCCCTCTTTCAAAACAGGAATATCCCCAAACAATTCCTATATACAAGACCCACCATCAAAGAAAACCAAAGAAACGAACGGTTGATTGAAGGACCGACGTCGCAGCTGAAAATGGCTCGCGAGCGATTGTAAGCAATTTTGCCAAACCGCACAACCGTACCAAATAGCGATCGAATCGCGAAACTGTGGTCTATTCTACTCCCGCCAGTTTATTTCATAAATCGACAGCGTATGTTTAAGCTTCCGAAACAAAAAATACCGTAGTTCCGTTGTTCTGCTATGACCTGGTGTCGCCTTCTGCAAACGATTCCAGTTGCTGCTTCAAGGCTTTGGGGAGGCGTTCTGTATCATAGATTTCTTGCGCCCAATGCGGATTCTCCTCCAGGATCTCTATGAGGAGACTTCCTTCGACGTTGTCACTATCGTTGTCGTCGTCGGTTCGGATCAGATCGTTGCTGGTCAGGGGAATGCTCTTGACATAGCCTGGCTGGTTGTGTTTTGCTGCAAATATGGCGTCTCCGATCCAGCCATCACCGCTCGGACCAACGTGCAAATAAATTTTCTTTTCCTCGGAAGAGTCCGTCGCATCACGGGCCAATGTTTTTGCGGTTGCTCCGGCATCCGATGTTGCTGTTGTCGTGAAACAAAACACACCGCGGATCCCATGTGTGGCAAAGAGCAACGATCCGATGGGCGCATGGGAGGCCAACCAGGGTCCATTGCCACACCGTCTTCTTATTGTCGAAGTCGAAAGTCGCAACCAGCGTCGGGTTGCACTTGTCATCATGGTTTGCGATCAAGACATCGGCAGAAGACGGACGCATCCTTCGTTTGGGCCATTTGAACTGATCGCTGACACCTAACCAAACTGCACGAAACCATGCAGTTCTTACTGTAGACCCCCGCTGTAGGTACGTACGGTACCGTACGGTACAGCTGGGGGTTTTCCTTGAAAAATCTGTTTCGGTTTCGTCCACATTTTTTCCAACTGCGCGCGACACAAATCAAAGGCATTTTGGCAAGAGCAAACAAGAACAATCGTCAGAGGTTACGAGTACGTACGTACCATACTCGTACTTTACTCGTACCGGTACGTATTCTGTATCTTACTGTACATTACGTACTACGTACTGTATTGATTTGTTGACTGTTGGACATCAGTAAAAAAAATTCGAACCGATCATCATCATTTATTCATTCGGCTACAAATTTCCGATCACCATTGAAATTGTTAGCAGAAATCACCTCGTTTTCTATCATTCATCGTCGACCGAGTAGCGCAAATCGACAAGAAGTGAATGAATTCATCATTTCACCCACAGAACCGACAGGTCCTTATTTTAAATTAACGGTAGAGCGAACATCTTCACGATGATATCCATTGTGAATACTGTTGCCAAGTTTCTGTATGGCATGAACCCCTCTATGTGCAAGATTCCTCCTCGGGGTTTGGACGACGAGTACTGTTACATGGGACCAGACGGAACCGAAGATGGCGCAGTACTTTGTCGAGATATCAGTTACGAACAAACCACGGCAGTGGGGAGTTGGATGATCAAACCCGAACGACACGCAATGGAAGGGATCGTGGGAGGGGTCGTTTGTTCCTTTGTATTGATATGGCTCATTCCAAAATTGCGTGCCGTTTCTCCGCCGACGACGAGGATTCGACATCCAAAGGGATCCCCACTCTTATCTCTGTTCTGTTTTGGGATGGTATCCTATTACAAATTCTCGGGTTATAAGAATCAGATATTTTGGATGGTGATGCCCTGTAACATGCAATGGGCACTTGCTGTTTTCCAGTGCTACTGTGTTCCAAAATCTTACGAGTTTCTGCAGTTTTCGATACTGCAAATACGGTTGTCTTATTTGATGTCGGTTGTCATTGCGATTGTCACGCCTGAGACAGAGGATTGCACCCGTTTCGGAGAATTCGAATTCTATTGGATCAATCACTTTTTGCTCTTGCTGCTTCCTTTCGCTTACATCAAGAACGGAAGCGTTTCCTGCTATCCTTGCAGTCCTCCGTATTGTTCGACGCTAGCCTACAATGCATACTGGTGGTTGCTTTCGTGCATTGTTTTCTACTTATTCTACTTCGGACCTGTTGCAATGATGGCTATTTCTACAGGATTGAACCTGAATTTTATGCTCCATCCTCCTCACGACCATTTTCTGCTGAAGGGGGAGAACTTTCGATTGATAGCGACGGCATCATTGGGATCGCTTTACATTGTTTCGCGACTCATTTGTATACAAGTAGAAGCAGCAATTACAAGCAATAACAATGCCGCAAAATCGGCTACCAAGCGACAATAAGAACATAGGTGTGATTCAAAGCCGAGGCCGTGATAAGGTGTAATCCTACGAGTATATTAGAATTGACTACCAAATGGGTCTTCATGAGTTGCTCATTTTTTCTCGTCTGTTTTAGTTCCGTCGCCGCTGGGCGAAGTACAGCAATTTAGGTTATTCTCCCGTGTGCCGTCCTTGTTCTGTCATGTGCTTTAGTGTCCCTTTTTGTATAGGAACTGTTTGATAACATGGGTGCTGCTGTTTCTGGGAGCCGCGAATTTATGCCTACCACATGCACTGCGCTTTTGCAATAACCAGGGATCTGTTTGGTTCTTACTTTTCAGAAACGAATTTCAATGTTCGGGTGATATCATATTTGACGGCAGTTTTTCAATTGGTTTCCGGGGTTGATAAGATGCCATACTGGAATCCATGACACAATACTCACTGATACTATTGTGTTCATAAACATCAGGGAAGTGATACAATCCAAATGAAATTTTCCTCAACAATGAAAAACTCATAAGTTTCTTTGTTGAAAGGGATAAGGACAGTACTTGAATTTACTATCTTTGGGTCATATTTAGGTCGGTTGACTACGTGGCTAGCTTTTGATTATCCAAGAAATATATCTCTTGCTGCAAAAATGATGCTGTTACCCACAGCTTTGTAATATTTTTGAATATGTTTGTAAGTGATCTTTGTCTGACATTTTGTGTAACGACGGCAGCTGGTAACCATCAACACAGTCTGAACAGAGGAGGGCATAATGATATGGTGGGTTTATGAGCACAGATTTTGTTGATTTTCCACTGATATTATTTTGGATTGACCTACTGCTGCATGCAAAATGCTACCAGCAAGACACCTGAACAATTATCTTTGCCTAAGAAAGCATAACAAGGAAGACCTAACTCAAGGTAAGCCTATTTCATTGTTTGTTGGAATCTCTGCAAAAAGAGATAATATATACCCAAATATTGTTGAAGCATATATATTTGTGTAATAATATCATTAATGTGCCAAAAATTTCAGGAATTTAATTTTGATATTATGATGACACTTGAAACCTACAATGCCATGAACCTGATTTTTTTCTTTTTCCTCAAATCCTTTCCCTGGTATTATGAATCAACCAACATAGATGGCTCAAATGACTAGTATTCTGAAGTAGTTGTCTATTGCTTACCCCAAAACGCATCTTATATGGAAAGTGATCTGCTGTTTCAAGAAAGTTGCATGTCTGTGGGAATTTTAAACTTGTGTCAGATTGCCAGGCTGGCTATACAGCTGACTCTGGGTATACTACAGTGAGTTCATTGAAACAGCATACTTTTGTTAATCGAAATCATGCACATAGCAATAAGAAGCGCTTGAAATACCCAAGACTGTAAGCAATATTGATGCTCACCAAATATTTGGAAGCTTACTGCCAAGTCATTTGAATATAAAATTGAGAGTTGGCCCCTGCCGGTACTACACTTTGATTCAACTTGCAAAGTAGTGATATAAAAAAGACACTTTGATTATCCTAGGTACACATCGCCGTCACCCAAGTCCTGCAGCTGAGTAGAAAGAAGTACTCACAAACATTTCACAATAAACTCAGAAATAGCACCTAACTTCTTGGAAATAACGGGTCACGGCAATGGAAACAACAGATTACGTCAAATAATTTGCTTTTTTTCAAAGAAAAATTCTTTGATGCTATCTCTGTTTCTATATTTTTCGAAATCCTATGACTGTCTAATACGGCTGTACTATATCATAGCAATTTTTTTCGTAGCAGAAGTGTCTGATATGATCGTGAGGTTATTATAATTTAAGTCTTCTTACCATATCCCCAACGCACTTGGTCCATATCAGTCTTACGATGCTCCCCCAACGTAGGCTTCATCTAGAGGTCCCGAGTCTCCAATTGCCAATCGCTTTCCACCTTCAGCGCCGAATAGAGCGGTATATTCAGACATGAGAGCACCGAATGCATTTTGCTTGTACTTTGTGTCGTATACGTATTGGGAGTTGATTGGGGCTCCCGGTCGGTGCTCGTGCTCGGTTTCCTGGGTCCAGTCTAACCAATAGTAGGCAGCTTTTTCTCGTGCCGCAACGACTACATCGATGTTCGATTCCGTCATAGGCATGTCGAGCGAAGTGTACAGTGGGCCCCGCGTAAGCAAGTCGAGTTCGGTGGGTGGCACATCGCATGGAACAGCACCTTCTAGAGGAAGAGATGTTAGGAACTCTTTGACTTCTTCGGTCCCAAACTTCTTGTCATAATCCGATCGAGCACCGGAGTATTCGAAGGACTTTCGACCAAGTTCGTCTGGTCCCGGGTAGGATCCATCCGGTCGTCTCATTTCGTAGGCACCATAGGCACGTGGCCGGAAATCAATCGTCAGTCTCATCTTGGCATCTGGAAGAATAGCACACCTCGAAACTAAGTGCGGGACGTCATTCAGGGGCCCATTGAAAATTTGAAGCGATGACATCTTGCTATCGACACACATCGAGGATAGCCACGCCACGTTCGAAGGGCCGGCAGCGTCACGAGCGTCCAGGGTTACCGGGCAAGTGTCCACCAATACATCGGTTCCCTTCCATGTGAAATCATCCTTTGATTCCAAATCGGGGATTGTACTCTTGATCTTTCGGATAATGTTTTCTTGGGACGTAGACATAGTAGCGATCGCTTCTTCGGGTGTGACTTGCAGCCTCGTAGAAACCGATCGAGTTGTTGCTACCGATGGGGAAAGGGCTTGGAAGGCACCAACGGTGCTGGTGACCTGGAACAGAAATGCTAGTCGTGTGATGATCATCTTTCTTCGGCTTCCAGTTCTTCCTCTTGTACAGTATTAAACTTCTGGGTGTGTTAGATACTTGTAGCAAATAAATAATATCTTTGCTCGTCGGGATGACCTAGATATGAGATTGCTAGGTAATCATAATGGTATCGTACGGTTCTGTACGTACGTACTCGTACTTGCAGATACTTCATGACATGTTCAAATTTCCCCAAGGGACGTAAGGAACAGTAATGACGGACACGCACGAAGGTAATGCGGTAGAAGATGACATATGCGACAATGAATTCAGATCTTTTCATGAATTTCAAATTTCTTTTTCGCAGTAAAATTTGTGGGAAATTGGAAATTCTGCTTCCCACCACTATGGGTCGTTCCCGTCCCGAACGAATCCCGAATGACCCAATATTGTACTGTATGTAGTACGTACGTATTGGACATTGCACATTGCACATGGTACATGGTGAATACAGTAAGTAGGATCATAAGTAGTTAATGTACGACGCATACGTACCATGTCCAGTGATGAGAAGTACGTACCTACTTGTACGAGTACGAGTTACGAGACGTTTTGAGTACAGACTACAGACGCGCCCTTGGAAAAGGGAGGGGGAAGGCCGGAGAGACTTCTCTGGATTTAATTACAGTACGTACCGTACGTACGGTAGGTGTAAAAATTGATTAAACGTAGTACGTACTTCTACTTCGTAGTTTGAAAACCTTAACTTTAAATGTTGCACTTTGAATAGAAAATGAGCAAGTATCGGCCGGTACGTACCGGTACTACCGTACGAACTTCCTACGTACAGCTTTTGTTGTACGATTCCATTCTTGTACTGTATAGTACCGTACGTATGTACCGTACCACCGTTCAAGAGAAGCAGTGTAACCTCGTACCCGTAGCTAGCTTACGTCTCGAAGCGTAGTACGTAGAGTACGTACCTGTTTTCTACCGTACGATACGTTAAATACGGAGGTTTAGACCGTTTTTGTGTTTTCGGAATCTTCTAGCACCAATCTTCTAGCACCAAGCAGCAAGATGACAGCATACTACGAGTTCGTACTCTTACGTTCACTCCGTCCGACTGGTTTTCCTTTCGAATTTCGAAAATACCGGAATCACATTCTTCAATTTTGATTACGACGGCACAAACTAAATGTATTGTTGATCGTATTGCAATGGCGAAGAAGTGATTTATCAAAGAACAAGTACGACAAACATACTATACGACGATGACGTATATGCCGATGATGGCCTTTTTGAAAAGCTCTCTGTTTTTCCTCCTCTTTCTTTACGCCGAGTCGTTTTCCCACAATTTGGCATTTTTGAGCAACTACAATCCTTCATTAAGTCGAAGTCGAAGATGGTCAACCAATGAGGTTGCCTCGCAAGATACAGTAACCGATCCGAGTAAAGATGAAATCACCACCAAAGTTGTTATGGATGAGAATAACAGCGAAGACCTTGAAGCCTCTGTCATAAAAAATGGCTACCCGATGAACAACAATTTCAACGGTTACAGCATGACTTCGGGATACAGTCCGTTCTTGGACCAAGAACCATCGCCAAAATGGCTAAGGAAACTCATAGGAAAAGATAGCGAAAGCATCAGCAGTAGACAGGATATGGAGGAAGATGGATATGCTGAGATGCAGCGACGGAAGCAATCTCTACTGAAACGGATTGCGAAGTTTCCTTTGCGCACTGCCAAGAGACTCGTTTCGACGAATTCAATTGAACCGGGAACGCTGATTTTGGTGCGCCACGGAGAAAGCTCTTGGAATAAGAATAAAACTTTCACAGGTTGGTCAGACCCAGGTAAGTTTCTTTTGACCATCATTTTTAAGTTGTGAGATGTTGCCTTCTTTTGTTACCACTACTAACGCAACCAAAATGAATGCAACCAGATCTGACGGATCAGGGAAAACGAGAGATGGAACACGCAGCGAGATTGCTCATGGAGGGAGGCTATCACTATGATATCAATGTGGTTTTTACGTCAAGATTGAAACGCGCGATCCGCTCCTCTTGGATCTTACTGCAGGAATTCAACCGAGTCTACTTGCCCGTTTTTAAAAGCTGGCGATTAAACGAACGATTTTATGGAGCATTGACGGGCTTGAACAAAACTCAGACAGCTGAAAGGCTTGGAGAGGATTTAGTCCAAGGGTGGCGTAGTTCTCTTCGCATTCGACCACCCGCACTGACCGAAAATGACCCGTTCTACCCCGGGCGTGACAGAAAATATGCTGATTTGACAAAAGATCAATTACCTCTTACTGAGTCGCTTCTCGACTGTATGGAGAGGACGAAACCACTTTGGAACGATAAAATTCTGTTTGAACTTAAACAAGGAAGGAATGTCCTTGTTGTTGCACATGCGAATACGATTCGAGGTTTAGTAAAAACTATCGATGATATCGGTGAAGAAGAAATTCAGAACGTAGCGATTCCTACGGGGATTCCGATTGTATACAAGTTTGAAATGCAGACAAATGGTCAGCTGATATCCATTCCTCCAAAAAGTGAGGAGAATTCTGTGAGTCAATTGCATATGAAAGGAAAGTTTCTAGAAAAACCTGGTCTACTCAAGGAAGCCTTGAAGTTAGAAGGGAATTGGAGAGAACAAGTTCCCGGCTATGATGCAACAATGTCGCGCCATAGTAGGCCCATGACTGGACTTGAGAGATCTTTGTATAAATTGAATGCAGTAAGGGAACTCGGGGAATGGGCCACGGACTTTATCGATTTGGATCCAGAAGAAGACGACGGCAACGACGGCAATGGTATATTTTTTACAGCAGATAAAAATGAATCCAGCACAGTTGCTGGATTGAAAGAAAATTCTAGTAATGAGGACATTCCTGCCAATGACCAAGATGCAATTCCTACATTTTTCGCTCAGCCGTGTATAACCTCCGCCCCAACATCTGCTGTTTCGAAGCGCCAAGACTCCGTAATTGTAATTATTCGTCATGGTAAAACACAACATAACAAGCTTGGCCTGTTCACAGGGTGGGAAGATGCGCCTTTAGCAGATGAGGGAATCGAAGAGGCAAAACTTGCAGGTCAAAATCTGAAGAAGCACGGGTTTGAATTCGATGTTGTGTACACCTCTTGGTTGAGTAGGGCTCTCGAAACCGCTTGGCTTGTCTTGGACGAACTGGATAGTCTTTGGCTTCCAATTGTGAAGACTTGGCGCTTGAATGAACGGTACGTTTGGAAAAGGGTATTGTGTTATGTCAATTGTACCCTAGCAACAATCATGGTCCTTTTCCCTCTAACCTACAATTTTGTATACCATTTTCTGCTTCAATTTCACCTTCGGTCATGTTCACGTTTCTTGTCCCTTTCAAACAAGGATGTATGGTGAACTCACCGGACTTTCGAAGCAAATGGTGAAGCAACGTCACGGAGAGAAGCAATTCAAGGCGTGGAGAAGAGGCTTTGAGGTTCAGCCTCCAGCTGTGTCCTCGTTTTCCCAGAACTATCCCGGCAACGACCAGCGATACCGTTATATTCGAGATGTTCGTTATTCGGTGAAAGAAAGTGCCATACGTTCGATTGAGAAAGGCAAACTGAGACTGGCGAGGAAACTCCCAAAAACTGAAAGTCTGAAAGACTGCATGGATCGAACGATTCCTTATTTTCTCGAGAGAATTGCCAAAGACGCAGTAGACCAGAATAAAAGGGTTCTAATTTCAAGTAGCGAAAATGCAATCCGTGGCTTATTAATGCATTTATGCGATATCCCTGAGAGTGAAATTACAGGTTTAGAGATACCAAACGGTCTCCCTTTGATTTATGATGTCAAATCGAAGTGTGTAAAGCTTTTGGATGACGGTACTGGACGTGATCCCTTAGAGGTTTACAATTTTGGTCCATCTGCAAAATATTTGTTCAGACCTTGCCAAAACGAAGATGGGAGCCTCGACGAGGAATGCACTATCAACTTTGATAGCCTAATTACTACGACCGCAGACCAGGATACTTTAAATTACATTAAAAGTAAGACGGGTCGATAAAAGATAGATTTTGAATCACAGATATCAGTGCCAACTACAGTATGCAATTCTACCGATGGTTTTTGCAGAATGGAAATCATTTGGAATGTTTTTATTAATTTGATAGCAACACTTTCGATGACTAAAATCATCACTGTTTTCAAAAGTCAATAGCATCTGACTAAAGTGACGCAAATAATCGTTTCATTGTGTTGGGTGCTTTTCTTGTTGGTTTCTCTATAACTGCCATCTCGATGCATGAACCTTCGGGGATTTTGATTTCGCTGCTGCTATTCTCATCATCCGAATCGTGAACCGAATCGCTGTATAGTAATCTGAGGAGCTCATCTTTCACTCCATTGCTATCTCGTTGAGTCCAGTCTACTTTCCTCAGTATTTCATTCATCCGATCAGAGCCTTGTCCCAAAGCGTGAGCCCTAACACGGTATGCACCCGTTGCGTCCACCACCCATAATCCCAAACAAGAACCTGATGCCAAGAGGCCTAAACAACTCAGAGGTCTCCTGCTTTCGGAGACACAAAATTTTGCCATCAGTAGGGAAGCTTGCGAGGCCAAAAAGCTTCCATATTCCGGCGCGGTGCCAATGTGATGCCCAAATTCAAGTTGTTCCCGCCTGTCAATTGATCGGATATGGTTAATCAAGTTCTGACAATCTGTTCTCCAACCGGAACAAACCATAGCTGATGCGCAAGAGGAATCCACTGGATGTATTCGAAAGGGTCCCCTATACCTTCGAGGGAGATCCTTCTGGAATGCCGCGACACGCGTATTATTTGATCGATTTTCTGAATTGTCCGTGCAACTTTCCTCTCCGATTGAATCCCGTAGCAAAGGGAGTTCCGCGTTATCTTTGGAAAAAATGGAATGAACAGCAAAGAGCAAAACCCCATCCCTGCATACAACCCCAACCACCATCGGTGAAAATTCGATAAATGGATCCGAAGTCACCCCCATCAACGGAAATTTCGGGAGCGGCCCGTTCTGCCCTATTTTCCCTGTTGAGCTTGATGCATTTGTACATAAAATTGCCGCGACAAATATTCCTGCCCGCAAGAGCAAATGATTCATGCGTCGATGTGTTCTTCTCGATTGGAATAAGCTTTGAGATTTCATTGTTCTTCCCTGCAATACAGATTGCAGGTGTCAATTTCTTCTTTGACTGTGACTTTGAATGTAACTCCTCTTCACTGACGATCTCTGTTTTCAGGTTGTTGGTCAAAAATTGAAGTGATGCTGTAATCCTCCAGTTGCTCGCTTTTCACGTGTAATCAGGCGCGCTGGATTACAAAAAGAAAACATGTAATCGCAGGCTAACAAACACTAGTTAATTTTCTATTTAAATCTCTCACCTCAATGGATTCCAAACCTGCAAAATGGATTACATGTAATCCAAAATTGTATTCAGCGCTCTCATGAAAAATAGCCTTATTTTTCCACAGTAGTGCTAATTGTTTGGCTGAATTGGATTACAACTCCAAAAACAAAATTTTCTCCTAGTAGGATTACAGTAGAAATCAAAGTTTCCTCTGCATC